GCCACTTTGACCAAATGATAACATCACAGTGATGGGGCCACCAGGCCGCATGGGCTTCCTGGGAAGAGCATCTTGTCTCTGCATTTCTTGCCAAATGAGCATGACCTGGATTGAATACTGAGGAAGCAGCAGACAGACCCCGACAGAGGAGTCTGTTGGAAGATAACTGGCCAGTAAGCTACAAAACAAAACAGAGAGGGGACTCAGCTCTCCCAGATGGAAGGAGACGTAATTAGACGTGATGCCTGATCCAAGTTACCTCTGCTACAGAAGTTGTCACTGGGATATTTTGCAAAATCGGAACACCATAGAGTAGGTCATAGAATCTCACTAATAATATGCCACCACACTTTGGTAAGAGAACACACTTTGAGAAACAGACACTGGAGTAGATAAGAGATAAAGGAGGGTAGGGTTCCTCCAAAGGTTCAGAAATAGTCAGTGTGTTTGTGTCTATCTGTGCTCGAGGTACTGTGAAAAACAAAGACAAAGCCTGCACTGGAAAGGTCTGCTCTTCCTCCATCTCTTGTAGAAATTTGGAGCGTAGTCAAAATAAAAAGTTACAGTTAGAACACAAGTCAGTTCCCCTTTGTCTCTCAAAGGCATCAGTTTCAGTCTTTTCAGATCCATAACTGGCTCCATCACCCTTATCCATCTTAAGTACGGTGTCTAAGTTCTTCCAGCGTCTGGTACCATTGTTGGTTTGTTTGTTTAAAGATGGAATCTTTCTAGATAGCCCGGACTAGCCTGGAACTCACTATGTAGACCAGACTAGCTTCACACACACAAAGATCTGCTTGGCTACTCCTCCAGTGTGCTGGGATGAAAGACCTGTGCCACCATGCTTGGTGCTAACTCAGTTCTTAAAGAGCTAAATCTACAGGTTAACCTGTAAGCTACTTCAAGACCCACCTCCCAAATTGGGCGAGGAGACATGTGGCTGTAGTCCCGGCTACTTGGGAGGTGGAGGCAGGAATGTTTCCTGTGCCTAGAAGTCCAAGACCTGACTGAACAACACAGTGAGCTCCTTTGGAAGGCATACATACTGGAGGAAAAGCAGAGTTGACACAAAGGAAGCCGCTTAGAGGCCTCATCGTTTGCCCCCCTTCCTCATTTCTGCATCTAGGGATTTCTCTCTCAGAAGTAAATGAAAAGTTTCTACACCCTGATAAGCCACTCCACCGATGCAGCAATCCAAATCAGACCAAATCAAACCAAATTAGAAAAAGCCCATGTTTAACATTCCTGGATGGCTTTCCAGCCCCCAGAGAGGATATGGGAAAAAGAGACCAGAAAACCACATGTCTGTTTTCTGGGGGACAGTTCAAATACCCTGTGGGAGTGGTCTTGAGCATCTCTGGGGAGGGGCTATCATTTGACAGATTTTCTGAGGTACAGCAGGGTTTGGAGGGAGATGGGGAGGGGATTTAGGGTGGGACCTTCACCAAAACAGTAAATAGTACGTCTTAAGCAGGAAACACAAAACTTTATTTAAAGTCTGAGTTTTGTTTCTAACTTCTGAGCCTGCACATCTTTGATTCAATTCCTTAAAAAAATCAATAGTCTTCCCCTCCCTAAAAACACAGATGTGATCATTTTCTCCCAGCTCAGCAGGGTTTTTATTAATATCTTACTGATGAAGAAAAGGAGGTGTTGATTTCACTTTGGCAAATGGAAGTACAGAGTGCCCAGTTACATTTGACATTTATGAAAGCAACAAATACTTTTCCACATAAGCATGTTATAAGAAGTATCTGAAAATACTTAAAGAATTTATCAGTAGTTATCTGAAGTCCACATTCGACTGGCTATCCTGTATCTTATCTGGCAACTATAGCCCAAGTAGTTTGGAGCTAATTATGAACCATGTGTATAGCATAAGCAGGCATCCTGACATGTACTCCTAAGCCTTTACCAAGTGCTTGCATGCTCCTCTAGCTCTGCCTGCCATAAAACAGCTTCTTTCACCCTTTAGGAATCTTGGAAAATAAATTCAGAGTTACCCATTCCTGCTTATTTACTAAGGTTTTGACTCAGCTCTCACTTTCTGTAGCCATTTAATCTACTCGAAGTCTTTCCTCCAATACTTTCTGTCACCTTCCTCTGCTTTTACTTTCTTCTTGGGCACTTCTATTTAACATCCTGTAGTTTTAATTGCTGCCTGCCTATGTTGGGAATTGGGTTCCCATCAGAGGAATCTCGGGCCCCTTTATCTCAGTGCCTAGAATAGTGGAAGACTAATTGAAAGGTATTTGTGGGTTGCACAGATGGATGGATGGATGGATGGATGGATGGATGGATGGATGGATGGATGGATGAGTGGGTGGATGGATGGATGGATGGAGTCTAGAAAGCTATTGAAAGGCTTGTATTGCACAGGTCATACATATTACTCATATGAAATCTAGAAAAGGCTTGACACCAAGTCAGAGCCTAAGCATGTCATGGTGTACATTCCAGATACAAAATAGGTGTCAAGGCCAGCCAGAGCTCAAAGGGTACATTATGGTATAGTGAAGCTTCTTTTAACCTGTTCTCGAATATTTTTCAGAACTTAATGTTGATTGCACCAGATGCCAGTCATTAGGATACAGTGGGATCTGGTGCAATCGGCATTAAGTTGAGAGTGAGGCTCTGTGGCATCCAGACCTGGTTTACTTCTGACTCCGACCTGTGTTGCTCACTCAGATCGACAGTCTAGCTTTCCCTCCCTGGTCTGTGAAATGGGGATGTTCGGGGACCTAAATCATCAGCTGTAGTTCGAGGATGAATGAGATGATCCCACCAAGTCCTCTGTACTCCCCAGGCAACAAAGAGGCTGCTTCTGTTGTTGCCTTGGTCTCTGGTGACCCCCCCCCCCCGCCCCACCCCGGTGCTGTATGAAGCCTTGTTCAGCCTGTGCTGCCAGACCGGGCCCCTCAGACAGACAGTGCTGCAGGGCGCAGAGTCTCTAGTCACTGTTCCCATTCCTTTCCTTTCCACAGCCAGAGGCTGATAAGCCCAGGACAGCTTTCTGAGTGACTGTCAGTGCAGCGTCTGTCACTTGTCCAAAAAGGTACCTTTTTCATCAGGAGGAGGAAAAGCTCGGGCCTCAGGCCTCTACAGGGACAGCTACCTGTGACAGAGTAGTGCAGGAGAGGGGAGGAAAGAAAAGACTGCGAACGCCAGAGGCTCACTGCGGGAGAAAAGCAATAGGGTAAACAAATATGATTATCTGTAAAAGCCTCCTGGGATTCAGGAAATGAGCCTAAGTCTACAAACCTAACTGGCACCGACTTAAAGCAGAGCACTCTGAAACATTTATCAGCTCACGGAGTCCTTCAGATGAAGTAGTCCTTGAGCCATGTTCCAAGACAGAAAAACAAGTATTTCAGAGCAACCTCATATCAACATGTTTAAGTGCCATATCCAGCTCCTTTCACAGCGATACTCACTGGAGAGGGATATGAGATGTGTGCTTCGGTGCTTTTAGTGAAAGTGCTGAGCTATCCAAAACAAATGAGAAAATAAAAACAAAAGCCAAGCTGTGAGGTGCAGTCCTCCTGGGCCCCTGTTTGTCCAAACGCACCATGTTAAGTTCTTCCTCTTCTATCATGCATTTGTAGTTGCATGATGTCATACATTAAAGCTCATGACGATGTTTTCCTCTTTATAAATGACGGAGAAAAATGTCAAGCTACCGGTTTCTGGCAAAAAGCGTATGAAGATTAAAAAGACTGATAACAGTACCTTTCATTCGTTTGTGGCTTTCTAGGGGAGAAAATGATGTTGTAGTTTAAAAACTTAGAGTAGAAAAAGGGTTTTCTTACCCTTAGTCCCAACAACTTCACACCAAACATTTATCTTGGGGAAATAAGCAATTTAGAACTCAGAACCATATCCACCTAGTATTCAATGATCCCTTATTCATAATGTAAGAAATGGGCACTATGTATGTATGTATGTATGTATATGTATGTATTTATATTAAAATATATGATTATTCAATTCACTTGTGCTAATCACACAATGCAACAGTGTACAGCCATAAATAGGATGGTGTAAGAGAGAAGTGGACACAATTTTAATATTAAAACTGGTTACCCAGTTCACTTATGCCAGCCACTCAATGGAAGATTGTACAGTCATAACTATGATGGCAAGCATGTATCTTTGCATCTGTGGGCATTATACAGTTTTAATATATAAAATATGCACAAAATTGTAAAAGGAAGGCTAAAATGCTTATATGTCATGGCTAAAATAGTCCCGGGCCACTAGTTTGTTTTATTTTCCTTTCAGAGTTTTGTATGTGTTTTGATCATATTCGTCTCCTCCCACAACTCTTCCCCACCCACCCAATTTTGTATTCTTAAAAACAAACAAACAAACAAACACCCCATCAGATTCAATTTGTGCAGCCTGAATGTTCTTGGATGTGTCCTCTACTGGAACAGCGCTGACTTATCAGAGACCAGGCTTAGAGAAAACTCTCTCCCTCTCTCAGAAGCAAACAGTTGCCAGTACCTCCATGGCTAGAGGTACAGTTTCATTTCATGCTTGAGTTCCATCTCCATGCTGGGATTTGGTTTGCTGGGCCACTAGTTTTTAAAATATATGTTCAATAGGTAGAAAAGCACCGGAAAAGATACACATCAGGATGTTAGCTTTAGCTAGGTGTGAAGATTAGTCTCACCTCTATCATCTTCTGCCCCTGTATAAGAGACAATACAAAGGGACTATGATTCACTTTTCATCACAGAAAATAGTCTTTAATCAGAAAAGGGGGGGGGGGAATAGGAAATATTTTTGCTACCTGGTCTTTTATTCATTTATTTTGATCAGAAAAGGAGACATTGATGTATTTCCATAGGTTAGTGATTATGGAGATTCAGATGCTGGGTTCATAACTGTCCCTTAGATAAGAAATAACGCCAGAGCTGGTGAACTCTCCAGTAGGAAGAACTGATAGCTCACAAGGCAAGAGACTCTGGTATTAGTTAGGGATTTTGCTCATCACTATGACCAATCAATCAGCTGATGAGAGCGAGTCCCTTAAGGAGGAAAGGTTTGTTTGGGCTTTCAGTTTGAAGATGCAGAAACACGATGTCAGGAACAGGATTGTGCTTACTTACATCTTGGTGGACCAGGAAGCAGAGAGATGCTAGCATCCAGCAGGTTTTCTCTATTTTCTTTTGTTTATTCAGTCTGGGACTCATGGAATGGTGCTACCCACATTCAGGGCAGGTCTCCCCTCTTTGGGAAAGTACCCCTAACACACACCCATTATTGAGGTGCCTCGTTAATGCCCCAGGTTAATCTAATTAAATTGGCCATGGAGGCTAATCACAGCATGGTGCTTGCTGGCTTTTGTGCTTCCCCCTTGATCAGACCCCACCAGGTTTCCTCAGTAGCTGAGGTACAGATCTTCAACTCATCTGAATGCGAGACCAGGCAAATCATTCACAGAGCCATGTTTTCAATGGTTCTTGCATTCAGTATAGCTTGTAAATGCAGCAGGGGGCCTCAAGCTCTACCAAGCGTTTGAAAGGGCTCAGGGGTTAGACGTGGAGACAGAAGGCTTCTCAGGATGACTTGGTGTGCATGAGAGGTGTCAGCAGATTTCACTGGGGATTGATGGGAGCATACTGGAGGTGGGAGTGGTCGTGATGAATGGTAAAAGTAAAGCATCCTTTACATCTTAATGTTTTAATTTTTGTAATGAAAGATTCATTCATGCATGCATTTAGATGCTTACGAGTTGAATGCAATGGTTTGTGCTTTAAAAAACAGATTTTAACACCTTCTACTATGTGTGTTCAATGCTAGTGAAACACATGAGGCAAAGGTAGGCAATACCACCCCCATGGAACAAGTCGGGAAACAGTAGCGGCCGTGCTGGGGATGCTGGGTGCCCTCCACATTATACCCCCAGCTCTTGGAGAGGTCTTTATTCCTTATTAAAACTAAATAATGGAGCTGGAGAGATGGCTAAAAGGGTAAGAGAGTTTGCTATGCAGGCATGAAGACCTGAGTTCACATGTCAGCCCACACACAAAAAACCAAGCATGGCTATGCATGCCTGGAACTCCAGCACTGTCAAGGCCAGAGACGCGAGGGAGGGTCACTGGGGCTTGCTTGTTGTCAGCCTGGCTTCAAGTTCAAGGAGAGATGCTGTCTCGAAGGCATACAGGAGAGGACGATAGAGCAGGACGTCTGTTGCCTTCCCCTGATCTTTGTGCGTCCATGTTTACTGCTCTGGTTGGCAGTGTGAACCTGGGAGAGCGGGGCCTAAAAATGAGGCAGACTGAAGTCTCAATCAATAACCAACTTTATTCAGAGCATCAGACAATTTATACTCCGAGTTGAGTCACCTGGGTAATGTGTTAATCACAAGGAGAAGCCACAGGCCGCAAAAACATGTTTCTCCACAGAGGCATATGAATAACAACAGCCGAAGTAAACTTGCTCCTATCAGCTACACCTGGGAGAAACCACACAAACACACTCCATTTTTTAAACACACTCAGTTTTTAAGAAACTGAGACCACAAGACTCTTGTCTTATTTTCTTGGAGTTTTCTCGAGGCACTCAGAATTCTTCCAGGACTCTATTCTTGGATTGCCCCCCACCCACCCCACAGGTCCGTAAAGAAAACAGTGTGGTGCATATATCTGAAACCTACCTCCCGAAAGGGTTATGGAGGCCTATTCTGTTCATGTTTAGAGCACCATGTCTGCTGGGTTGCTTAACAGCTGCTCCTTGGGAAATTGATCTCCTACTAAGAGGCCCTTTGGTCCCATGTCATCAAAGGGACAGGGACAGTTTGCTAGTTATGTCTAGTAATATTTCCTCCCAGGGCTGCCATGTGAGAGACAAGCTGGACAGAAATACTCCCGTGTTTAGAGTCAACAGGGACTATGTGGCTATAACCTGCTCTGCTTGGAAATTAGCATATGCTTTCAAGTGTACAGCACTAATACAGGTCTTAATTTGTTTAGGCCCCAGTATGTTTAAATTGATACAAGGTAAGACATACTTTTCAAAACACAGTCAAAATTAATAAAAAGTACATAAAGAAGGCAGTTGAAATGAGGCTTAGGAAGGAGAGACTCAGTGGGCATCCGGTGTGTGTATTTCAACTTTCATCTAAGAAAAGACAGTAACAGAATCTAACCTGATACATGAAAAGACCAGCTGTCAGACAAGCCCAACGATGAGCCCTACCCTCTAAGATCACCTTTCTAACTCTGCTGTACCTTAGGCCCCAGAGGATATTGACCAGCTAGTGAAGGACCAAATCTGGTCCAATTTGCTGCCCCTTATAAAAATCACACCCCAGCGTCCTACTTTTCAAATATGACCCCCTAAGTTTGGTTAGTGTAACTCCCTCCGTTACCCCTGTTCCATTATTCCTCATTGAACTGACAAATTGAATTTCAGAGGCTGTGAAACTGAGGCCCAGACCCTAGCCCACAGTGACTTCCCACTGTGTTACTACCAGTACAGCGTGACAGAGCCAGCTGGCTTCAGGATCTTCGCTGCAGAAGAAAGATGCCAGGCACTCTGGGGAGAACATGCGGAGAGCCAGTCTCTGCACTGCCCCCCATCCGTCACATGAGAGAATTTTTTTTTCCTTTTCTCCAAAGTAGATTCCTAAAAGAAGGGTTCTCAGTGGTGGCTGGGGTTTTCCATCCCCACTAGATCATACAGTTAAATGCACCAGCTGTATGAAGCCTGGAGGCATCTGCAGGAGATACTAGCCATGTTTCTGGGAGGCCCAGGTGCCCTGGGCACGTTTGGTGAAGGTGGAGCTTCATAGCCCTTTGATGACAGATTCATTGATTTGTGAATCTTAACAGAAATTGAAGACTTACTATTTTTTTTAAAGCAACTTTTGTGTTATGTGTGTGCAGATTTGAAATGGAATGTCTTGGGCTGGGGAGATGGCTAAGTGGATAAGGGGCTTCCTGTGCAAATGTGAGGGTGGATTTCAATCCGATAGAACTCACATAAAACCCAGGCAGGCAGGCTGAGAAAGACGGGACCCATGGAACAAACTGACTGGCCAGACTCACCAAATTAGCCTACTCCAGTTCCAGTGGGAGATCCTACCTCAGTGAATAAAGTGAAGAAAGGCCAAGAAATACACCCATTGTGAACCAGTGGCCTCCACATACACACAAACACACATATGCCTATACACATATGATCATACACATGTTCACAAACACTACACATGTAAACATGCAAAAGAAACAAGCCAATGTCATACTTTGAAAATACAATCAAACTTTCCCAGGTTTCCTGCACCTTATTGCCCAAGCTAGGAGCCAATCTAACACATTGTATCACAGCAATAGATAAGGAAGACACATGTTCACATACATTCATAAACACAAATGTACACATTTAAAAAAAAACAAAACAAAGGAGTTAATGAAATCACTGTGAAGGAGTCAAAGCAATGGAACTTCTAAAGAAAATTAGCTTGTGTCATTCATTTGTACTTAATTAATTTTGTGCTTATGTGTCTGTTCATGTATGTTTATGTGTGTGCATATGCGTAGAGGCCAGAGATCAACATCTTTAATCTCTTTTCCATCCTTTTAAAAACATTTATTCAAAGCGTATTTCTTTACTTGTGTGGATGGATGTATACCACATGTATGCCTAGTGTCCTCAGAGGCCAGAAGAGGATGTCAAACCCCTTGAAACTAGAGTTAAAGATATTTGTGAAACTAGAGTTTCCTCTGGCAGAGGAGAAAGTGCTCTAAAGCACTGCGCCATATCTCCATGTCTCCAATCCACCTTATTTTTTGAGGCAGCTCTCCCACCAAACTTGGAACTCACTACTAATCCAGCAAGCTCCCTGGATACTCCAGTCTCTGATTTGCTAGTACTGAGATTACAGGTGCACAAGTTCATCCACACCTGGGCCAAACTCAGAACCTGATGCTCTTATAGCAAATACTTCACCAACCAAGCTTTATCCTCACCCTTACTTGTCCCATTTTTTTCAAAAAGCAAGATGGTGACTGGGAAGATGGTTGGAGGACAAAGCACTTTCTATGCAAGCATGAGTATTGGAGTTTGGATTTCTAGAACCCAATAAAAGCTTATGTATGTATGGTGGATGCTTATAATTCCAGCACTCAGGAGACAGGGACAGGGAATCCCTAGGTGGGCTGCTAACTAGACTAGGCAAAACTGGCAAGCTCTAGGTTCACTGAGAGACCCTGCCTTAGTACACAAAGCAGGAAGCAATAGAGGAAAATACCTGACATCACCTTTGGACCTACATACACACAGTCACTAAGCATATATGTATGCCCACACATGGAAACACACACCCACACACACACACACTCACACATGCACACACGCATGCATGCACGCACACACTGAAGAAAAGAAATTCACATTGCAACTTTTTCTAAGAATTTCCCCCATCAGTACAGTGCATTATACCACACATGGGAGTCGGGTCAGGTGATGACTCTAGGGAAGGATAGTCTTTCTTTTCCTCTGTTAGAATTTTATTGTGCACAGAGTCTCTGGGAAGAAATCTGCTTAACTTTGTTGTATCAAGTACTTACCAATATATCTGTCTGGGGACAGTACTTCCTCTCCTGCTCCTCCTTTTTCAAGTTAAGTAACAGTATAAGCATTGCGTTAAGTGCATTGCATTAAGTGCCTTAGAGTCTTTCAAAGGCTTAAAGGGGGAAAGTCTGCTGATTGGCTGGACCCAGGGAGCATCATGAGGCATCTGTACTGGTCTTTGGCTTCTGAAAGGCCCCTGAGCTGGGGAGTTGCTTTGGGATTTCTACTTTGGGAAGAGAAGGAAGCAGAGGATAGACAATAGTCCTAGCCACACTACTCTAGATTTCCCCTAAAGCTCACTAGCATTTTGAAGGCACATAGAAGGCACAGGACCTTAAGTGTCCCACAGCCACTTAAGATGCTAACTTACCCTTGCTTTGTGCTTGTGACTAGGCTCAATTGTGCCAAGCTTTTTCCCCATGAAAATTTAACAGTTCACTAGCTATTAATAAGTTCTTGGTCTGGTACCCAGACACTATGATCAGTCCTGGTCCGTTTCAGAGCTTCATGTGCACTGCGACTGTTGAGGAGTGCCCTTGTAGCAAGGGCAGTCTTCTACCATGCTCCACTATGTGACTATGGTACACATTTGGACCTCTTGAATATGGAGTGTGGTAAATGCACTGAGCAAAAAGTGCAGCCTTATATCAACTTGGCAAAGCTGGCATTGGAAACCTGTAGAAACCTGTCATTAATCACTAAGTGGCAGTTTGCAGGTCTTGGGACTTTAGGTAGGCTTTGGATCTGTTGGAATACATGGAGACACTACCAGTACAATGCATTTCTTTATATGGACGGTATCCTTTTAACCAAGGACTGGCACAAGGTGCAATAGAAACCCAAGCAGTAAGTTTGCATGCCTGTTTTTGGAGGAAAGCAGTGTTCTCTATTTTTAAATAGTAATCCTGCTAAATTTTTATTGTAATTTTCAAACCTTTTTAAAATTATGATTTTTGTTGTCCTTCTAGGCATCCACAAGCCCGGAGTTCTCCAACAGGATGCGATGTCGCCTCGGGATGTGCATTTAAGGCAGCTGGACATGCCGATGCTGAGGTAACACTTCCTTTGGTCTGGTCCAAGTCCATGGGTGTGGAGCCTGTCTGTGACTGCCTGGCCCAGCCGTCCAAACATGAAACTTGTAGTGATATTTTGAAACTTTTGAAACAAAATCCTAGCTAAAGAACCTTGGTTCAGTGGAGAGACAGGGAGATACCATAAAGAGAGAATCAAAAGCCTGGAAATTCGCTGCTGAGAATAGGCACTGGCAGCTCCCTGAGGTGGTCTGCTGAGTGCCCCCTCTGCAGATGGCGGACTCTCTAAGAGAGGACCTGAGGTTCTCTGGTAGCACTTTGATAGCCTGCTTGAATTCAGCATGTGAAATGGAGGCGTCTCTCTGTGACTTGGAGCCCACAGCAGGCTTTGAAGTCTGATCCAATTTTTGCTGCCTCCTATTTGATGTTGAAAGGGTGAAATGAAGAAAATGTACAGTTTTTGCCAGTAACTCTGCTGAGCATATGTAAGATTAAAAAAACAAAATCCTTTGGATGATGCGCTTAGAAATGGTAGGCAGATTAATACCTTCCTGTGCATTTTCTTGTTTCTCTCTTAAGGATAAAAACTGAGTAAAGATGAGAATTAGCATGTGACTGGTTCCCTCTCATGACTAAGTGATTGAGGAGGGTGTCAAGGACAGAGGATGAAGTAAGTGAATGAAGTGAAAGGCACTGCAGCTTAGTTCCTAATTGCCCCAGGAGAGGACTTGAAGACACAGGGAGCATGCAAATGTGAACGCCGCAGTCAAGAGCAAAGGTCCCTTAGTTTAATGGAAAGCATGTCCTTGAGGCTACTTCATCAGAGGATAAAAGTGACATCTCTCGCACTCCATCTTTTGGTAGCTCCCAGTTGCTGGAACGGAAGTATCATCTTCTTGGATGAATCACAGTGCCCCAGCTCACCAAAGACTGAGCCCCTGTGAAGATGCTCCCAAACGTGGTAAGGATAATATTTGGAATGCATGAATTTTGACCTTTTGTGTGCTGGTGTATGATCCAGTGAGTTGTTTATGAAGGCCTATCTAGAAGTCAGGACCCAATTAGATAGTAAGATGATGTAACGTTAGCAGGAAGCCATAAAGGCTGGGAACAATATTCATATTTTAAAAGTAGCAGTTTACACCTGGTGGTGGTACAATCCTTTAATTGCAGCACTCAGGAGGCAGAGACAGGCAGAGCTCTGTGTGTTTGAGGCCCTTCTAGTCTACAAAGAGAGTTCTAGGACAGCAAGGGCTACATAGAGACACCCAGTCTCAAAACAAACAAACAAACAAAAATTAGTAGTTTAAGATGGACATGGTAGTACAATCCCACTTTGGAAGCAGAGGCAAGAAGCTCAGGATTCATGACCAGCCTTGAATACACAGCAAGTCTGAGGCCAGCCTGGGCTGCATCAAGGCTCTGCTTCAAACAACCAAATTCATACATTCGTACATACGTAAGTGGTAGCAGTTTACCTCCTACTTGTGTGCTTAGACGGATACCAAGGGCTGTACTTCCCTTGCAAAATCCTGAAATTCAGAAACCATTCCAAAGCTTGTTGTGCTAAAACAAAAAGAAACATCTAGATTGCAGCAGAGTCCATCATGGACTTGGAGAATACTTCTGCACCCTGGTGGCAAGGCCATTTACCCAGCCAAAGACAGACGCCTCGCCGCTTATCTTTGGTGTCAATGAATTCTGGTCCCTTTTCAAAATCCCTTGCTATGGGATGTGGTAGATGTCAGTTCCAGGCCTGTGGGCAGCTATAATTAGTGCTTGTGGAAGATAAAGCACAGAACATGATTATAGAAAATATTTATGAACAGATACATTCTTGGTTCAAGGAAAGAAGTCTTGGGGCTAGAGAGACTGGCGGCTCAGCAGTTAAGAACACTGATTGCTCTTCTAGAGGACCTAGGTTTGATTCCTGCTCACAACCATCTAAAACTCCAGTTCCAAGGAATCTGATGACATCTTCTGACCTTCATGAGCACTAGGCACATACATGGTGCATGTACATACATGACACCAAGCATTCACTTAAGATAAAATGATAATATGCAAAAAAGGAAGTAAGCTCTCCACTTCAAATATGGTGGTTGTCAGACTCAATGTCAACCTGATCTGTTTTGCTGAGGAGAGATATAGTTAATTCTCATCCTGCTCCAAAATTCTTCCTTACCTTTTTTCAGTCTGTGAAAATGCAGGATAATGTGAAGTGGGAATGAGTTGAGTATGCCCTATCCTCCAGCCCACATGCACCCTTAGCTACCAGACAGAATGTGTGCACTGTTGTAGAGCCTTCCCCGTGGTGAATGCAGTAGACGATAAACCTTCAGATGCAGTGCTTTCTCACATCTACGCAGTGTTCAGGAATGTGGTCATGTTCTACTTTACGATACATGCAGCCCCTGGGCTGTAGACATAGCTTAGTCAGTTAAGTGCTTGGCTCACAAGCATGAGGAACTAAGTTTGCTTTCTCTCCAGAACCCAAATAAAAACACTGGGCTCAGATGAGGATCCCCAGATCTGATCCCTATTGTCTAGACTAATTGGTGAGCTCCAGGTGGATGAAACACTCTGCCTCACAGGAGGTGGACAACATTCCTGAGGAAGTCACAGAAGTGTTCTCTGGGTTACACGTGCACATGCATCACTTCCATGCATTAAAAGCAAATAGAATACATAGAATTCCCCCCAAAATAAAATAAGTGTGATTGAGTAGCTGGAAGCACGGGTTTAAAGTCAGGCCTCTCAGGTTTCACATATCTGCTCTGTGTAATGTTAACCAGGTTATATAATATATCGCTAACTTTTGTCATTGTTTTGATAAAATGAGATACACATTTTGATAAAAAGCCGGGTGTGGTATGCATGCTTTTAATTCCAGGACTTGGGAGGCAGCGGCAGGCAGATAGATCTCTGTGGGTTGGAGGCCATCCTGGTCTATATAGAAAGTTCCAGGTCAGTTTTGAAACCCTGTCTCAAGAAGAGAAAACAAAACAAAGCAAAACAAACAAACACATCTCCCAACAGAGAGCAACTTAAGGGACAAAGCGTTTATTCTGGCTCACAGTTGAAGGTGAAACAGTCCACAGTGAAAGGGACGGCATGGAGGCAGGAGCGAGGGGCAAATGGTCACACAGAATCCACAGTCACGGTCTCTCCTTTTTCTCCCATTTTACTCAGCCCCAGACCCCATCCCATGCTATGATGTCACACACTTTCAGGGTGGCTCTTCCTTCAGTCAAACCTCCCCAGAAACTCCCTCAAAGCCATGCCCCACCCCCACATGCACTTTACTAACACCCCCTGCACATTTTAATCCAAAGTCATCAACAGTGAGAGGAAATTAACCATCACACAGAACAGCCCTACTGCACTGAGAGGGACAGCAACTATGAGAGGAAGGCCGAATGGGAACCAGTGAGCCAGTGCTTCAGAAGGGCTCATGGCAAGGGGTGCTCAGGGGCTGTGTTGACCTGCCATTTCTGCAGAAGTACTCAAGTATGGGTGGCTGGTGGAGAAACCCAGTTCTTGATGGAACTGAGTTGTGATGGAATCGTTCACAAGTAAATGTGTACTGCATTTCTAACCATAGGTGTAAAGGGGACCTGTTGGATTACAGTTACCTTCCTAGTCTTTAGAAATATACTTCCTAAAGTCACACTTGCTAAGGAGATGGAAATCTGGTGTTTAGAAATGGTTCTTCGGTACTTCCCTTCCTTTCAATGGAAACAGCTGTATCTTGGGTCAGTTGCCATCACTATCATTTCCCTGTCTACTCATAAAAATGGCTTCCACCCTAAGTGGTTTCCTGGCTCTTTACCCACCTTTAACTCTAATGCACAGAAGTCTAAGCAGCATTTCTAAAGCGTGACTCTGCCAGGGCCATTCCCTTCCTCCACTCTCCAGTGTTTCCCCAGCTGCCCCCCCCCCATCAATTCTGACTTCATCGAAGGTTTCCTGTGCTCTTGTGCTGGTCTCATTTCCGGCTCTCTTTCTCCCTCTGTGGTTCAGAGTCCCTACGCTATCCTCTTCCCTGTGTATTCTTTCTCTCATGGCTTTGTGTTGTCACCTCTACTCTATGTCAGAATCCCCTGTGTTCTTCATAGTCCATGATGATCCCCTATTCTGTGCCCTTTGACTCTGTATCTAGTATTCCTCTCATCCTGCCTTGTGTCCTAGCTGTTTCCATACTTGTGGTCCGTTTTAGACTCTCTGAGGATCACAGTTTATGGATCCTGGGGGTCAAACCCAGACTTCACACTTGCCTAGGCTTTATCACTGAGCCACATCCTCAGCCTCCTGGAGGACGTTTCTGAACTGATTTCTGGTGCATCTAAAGCCATGATGAAACATAACAGAAGCAAGAAGGAAAGGAAACTACATGAGTAAGCAAGCCATAGAAAAGACTCAGATGCTAAAAAACATTGGAATAGAATTCAAGTCTCCTGCAATGTAGCTATAATGTCATGCTGACTAATGTTCATTGCCGACTTGACTAGATTGAGAATCACCATGCAAACAAACACATGTCTTAAGGTATGTGTCAGAGGCTGTTTCCAGAGAGGTTTAACTGAAGAGGCAAGATTACCCTGAGTGTGGGCATCACCAGTTCATTGACTGGGGCTAAATAAAAAAGATAAAGTGAGCTGAGCATCAGCATCTGAATTGCTCTGCTTCCTGACTGCGAATACAATGTGAGCAGGCAGCTCAGGCCAGCTACCGTGACAACTATGTCCTCAAACTGTGAGCCGAACGAAATAAACCCTTCCTCAAGATGCTCTTACCAGATTTCAGTCACAGCAAGGAGGACAGTTACTAATAAAAACCACACTTGTAGGCTAGTTGCTATGATACAAGTAGTTTCCTTCTATTGTTGTTGCTTGTTTTTGTTTCATATTGAGACTGGGTCTCCCTCTATAGCCCAGGCTGACCTCCAACTCATAGATATTTACCTACCTCTGCCTCCTAAGTGCTGCGATTATGTACTATCATGCCTTGGTAATTCTCTGTCTTTGACGGTCCTTTCTTTTAACCTGGTTGTGTGGGAGGCAAGAAGAAAATACTGTGATCTTTACCATTTTTAAGGAAACAGCAGAGACAAGCAACTTTCCTTTCTGACTTTTGGGACTGACACCACTGTTCCTGAAAGGCTCTGGTGGGTCAGGGACAGGAAGTAGACCCTAAGTGCTCAGTCTAGAGTTCTAGAGCAGCCATCACACCAGCCTATAAAAATGGGACTTGGATAGGGCCCTTAGCTAAAGAGTCCAAGAACTGTCTCCAACCAGCCCATATGCACTTTTATACATTGCTCAAATAGAGAAGTACGTCCAGAGTCAGGCGCCATCACTTTGTAATTAGTACATTCAGTGGCATACCTAACAGGATTGTGTATAAGCTCTAACCCTAACCCTACATATATATAAGCTTGAACTGATTATTACTCTTTAAAGATATGTTTCTCAGGCATTTGTTTTTCTCATGACTTATTCATATATTTATTTTAAAAATTACTATTAACACTTTCTATGTGCCAGAATCCGTCTTGGGTCACCAATTTTCTGATTGTTTTGAAAGTCCTGATGTTTGTTTGTTTTTAATAGACGGCTTTTCTGATTTGCTGCCTGGTAGTTTTGTGACATATAATTAAAAAGAAATCCTAGAAAAACAATCACCCACTGACAGCAAACTGATCTGAACTTTGTCTAAAGTCTTCCTTTCAATTAGATTGCTCTGAATTCCTTTACTAATCTAGTCAGGCACCAGGAACACCAGTCAGCCTGAAGACTGAGTGTTACTGAGTGACAGTCCCATTCCTGATCTCCTGTGTCCTGTGCTGGCAGAGGTTTGTTTGCCTGTGTTTTGTAAATATAATCCCAACAGAGTTCTCCACACAGCAGCCACTGTCACCTTGGTTAACCCTCACTGAGGCCTCTGTCCAGCTTTTTAAAG